AATGACCTGGATAAAAATCCCACACTGTAGGCTAAATCTGGTCTCGAGCCTAACATAAGGTACATGATCGCACCAACGACCTGTCGATATGGAAATATGACTTCTTTTTCTGATGCTTTCCCTGAATTCGAACTTCCTGAACTTGAAAGCATTGGTGTAGAAACTGACTTGCATTCAACAAAATTAAAACGCTCAAGTAGTTTCTGAGCATACGATTTCTGGCTAATCTTGATATTTCCATTCTGTGATTTTTCAATTTCAAGACCCAAGAAATATGTTGCTTCATTTGAGGTAATCTTGAACTCTGTTCTAAGTTGGTGGATAAATTCTTCAAGATCTTCTTTATGAGTAGCAGCAATAAGACCATCATCTACATATAATGCTAAAACTATCTTAGCACCATTTTTCTCTTTAACAAACATACATGGTTCTTCTTTACTGGCTCTAAACTGTAATTTTTGTAAATATTTTCCAATACGATGATTCCAACATCTAGGCGACTGCTTTAGTCCATATAAACTCCTTTTGAGTAGGCAGACTCTACCAGACTCATCATCGTATCCATCTGGCTGTTTCATAAAGATCTTTTCCTCCAGCTCTCCATATAAAAATGCAGTTGAGACATAAAATTGGGCCAAATGCATTTTCTCTGTTGCAGCAATACCAAGTATCAAACGAATAGTTTGCAACTTTGCAACTGGACTGAAAGTATTATTGTAATCAATACCTTTCTTTTGATTGTATCCTTTTGCGACCAATCTTGCCTTGTATTTTAAAATACTTCCGTCTGGATTTAATTTTAATTTATAAACCCACTTACAAGCAATTGCTTTACCACCTGTGGGTAATTTTACTAATTCCCATGTGCTATTTTCCATCAAGGAAGCCATTTCATTGTCCATGGCATTTTTCCAGGATGCACGATTTTTATCTTGTATAGCTTCTTCATATGTTTGAGGATGAAGCTCTGTCATCATCGCCATAACGTAATCTTCAAGATACTTTGGAGTGCGGATAATTTCTCGATTACGTAACGATCTTTCATTGTTATATTCACTACTGCACTCATCATCACTTTCTTCTTTGCTTTCTTTAGTTCTTGTGCTGCCTTCAGGTTGAGTAATTTCTGGTTTATCAATCTGGTCTTCTTTTTCTGATTCATCTTCTTCTGACAATCTATTCCTGAAAAATACTTTTTCTTTTTCTTCGCATTCTTGAGTTACTTCATTAAATTTTACATCTCGAGATAAAACAACGCATTTCTTCTCTGGAACGTACACTCGATATCGTTCATCTCCATCATAACCAACTAAGTAGCCTTTTTCAGCTTTTCTATCCATTTTTCGTCTTTTCTGATCTGGAACATGGATATAGCAGGCCGAACTGATGATTCGAAGGTGTTTTATCCTGGGTTTCTTCTTATACCAAATTTCATATGGAGTAATACCATCTTCTGACGACTTCCCAGTCCTATTCAGAATGTAGATCGCTGTTGTAACTAACTCAGCCCAAATCGCGTCCGGAAACTGCACATCAGAATTGGAATACTTGAACGTACGTGCCATCTCGACAATTGTTCTATTTTCTCTTTCACTACCGCCATTTTGTTGTGCTGTCAATCGCTGTGTGATACCCCGTCTCTGCAAGATTTCTCGAACATCTGCGTTGTCAAATTCACCTCCATTGTCGCTGAGTAGCTCTTTAATGAAGTGACCCTGAGTTTCTGCATGCGTTAGCATTTGTTCTAAAACTATTTTGACATCAGATTTATACTTAATAATAAAACCGTAACGATATTTGCTATAACTGTCCTTAAATACCACTAAATAACGTTTTTTCTGAAAAGACTCACAAAAGGGTCCACAAACATCGACCGAAATAAGTTCTCCCGGTTGTGAGGCACTTTTTCTGTTACCAAATGGAAGTCTATGCGCCTTACCATATACGCACGGTTCACATATTGTATCATCAAACTTAACTTTAAGATTAAACTCTTGTTCAAGCTTTTTCTTGACGTAACGCTTATCCTGATGACCCCACCTTTCATGGTATAACTGTAAATGATCGTTTGCTTCTACTATTTTTACTGATGCCCTGTTTTGGGACAAAATTGGACTAATATTTGCCTTATACAATGATCCAAACTTCTCTCGAATACCACTCAACACTGTGATGCCGTTTACCAAAAACGAGCAAGTGGTTACGGTGGATCCGAATTCACTGTTTAAATTTTTATCATGGGCAGCCAATGGTGAAAATAAATTTCTTGAAATTTTCGGAACGTACCAAACATCTTTCAATAAAATATGTTGGTTCTTCCCATTGACAATTGAAGAGACCTTGATAGTACCGCTCCCGATAGCAATCAAACGTTCTTCTCCAGCTGCTTTAATTGTGCGCGGATCTTTAAACTCATCAAACGTACAATACCAATCAGAACGACTAGTTACATGCTTAGTAGCCCCATTATCCACAAACCAATCCTCTGAATTTGGTTCAGTAGTTTCAGCATTACTACTGCTACTACTACGTTTAGGACGACCATCTGCGATCCATTTTCTACAACTTCTCACCCAGTGACCCTTCTTTTGACAGTAATTACAGGTATCTTCTTTCTTAAGTTTCGATACAAAATTGAAATTGTCGGTACCCCTCTTTGTCTTCTTATTTGACTTAACCAACAAGGCTACTTGTTTATCACTATCATTACTTGAAGGCTGTCTTATATTTCGTTCGAAAATAATAATCTGCATGGTTAATTCGTCGAATGTTTTAACCTCATCTTTCGTTAACAGCATCCAACTCGATTTAAAATTCTCAAAACTACTAGGTAAAATATGTAAAATTTTACATACCAATAGTAGATCTGGGAGTGGATTTTCATTCTTAGCTTTTAACCCGTTATTCAGCTCGGTCCATAGACTCTTGAGCTTGGCTACGTGTGTGGAAACATCCTCGCCCGATGTCCAACCAAATGAAAATAGCTCTGTACAAATCTTGAACAGCTGATCTTTGGATGTAGCTTCAAACTGCTGTTTTAACGCCTCCCAAGCATCATGCGCCGTAACCTTGTCCATGATTTTCTGATAAACTGTGTCAGAAACTGTACTTGTAATCATTGACTTGGCATAACTATTTGCTTTTCGATACAGATCACTTGTAGCTTTAAATGCTTTTTCTTCATCTCGTGTTGGATTAGCACTAAGCGGAGTCGGTTTCTCTAGCTTCTTATCGATAACATCTAACGCTCCCTCATGATAATCAAGTAAATCACGAATTTTCCTTTTCCAAATTGGCCAGTCTGACTCACCAGTCAATGGTTTAATGTGCTTTGCTAAATCCATTCTGCTGCTGATGTGTGGATTTAACAACACTTCACAAATACACAATTCGAAACGGAAAAACACTAAAACGAAGGTCTGCGCCCATAACCTAATATAATTCAACGTTAAACTTTAATGAAAATGATATTATTGATTACAAGATTGAGCGTTATTACATGTGACAGTTACGGTAAAAATTCTAATCTTTCTAAACTATGAAATACGCCGCCTATTATTTTTTATCTAACACTAACTTTAACTGACTTTAACACATTTTCAATGTTTATAGTTTACTTGAAACAAAAGCGATCAAGTACCTACTTCTCTACTAATGTTTGAGGATTATCGTCCACTTGATCAACTTTGATTTCAGAAAACTTCAGCACCACGTTAACCTCCTAAATGATGGGTCACGAACATATTTTCCGAACAGTTGACACGTTACCTTTACCTAATATTTAAATCTGTGCCTTTATACCTTCATTACTTCGAAACATGGCGAAGTTGTTATTAATTGGAAACTTCACTCAAGTTAAATCAAATTTCAACAAAACAAAACGAATCGATTTTAATCGAGGAGTTTTACAAGGCTCTCCAATTTCATACCGACGCTTTTTAACCTTGCCATTGACTTTGTATTTCAAGAAATGTCGGAATTTGATGTCGCAAGACAACATGGGTTCTCCTTGTCAGATCAACTAAGCTATCGATTCTTGGCTTTGCTGATGATGACATTACAATTATTTCGTGCTCAAGAGAAGCACCAGCTATACTCAAGTCAGTCTTATACGTCAGCTTTTTAACAGTATTGGATTGGGAATCAACGCTAAGAAATCAATAGCAATTACAATTATTGAAAACGGTACTTTGTCAATGGAACCGCTGCGCTGACTACTGACGGTGATTTCGTTATTCCATCACTGCAGTCCGGTCAAACTATCAAATATCTTGGTGTAACGTTTTCTGACGAGTTAACAGCCGATACTGATGCTATAATTCGTAATTTGGCCAAAGATATAGACAAGTTGGTTTCGTCAAATTTGCTTCGACCTAAACAGAAATTGACAATTGTAATCATAGTCCAGGCAGCGAAGCCCAAAAAAGGCTGAATAGAGGAAAAAAATCATGTAGAAGCCAATTTTGGCACAGATGTAGGAGAAGGTATCCTGAACAACATACTAAAAGTACTGAGGGTTGGGGTGTGAGCTAAAGGAGGGGCGAGGGGTTAAAGGTCCCTTTTTTTAGTTTTTCGTGAATAATTTGAAAACGGTTGCTCCTAGTTAAAAATTTTGCTCTAAAGAATTAAACAGAATAAAATTATCTACAAAATGATATAGCACAGTATATAATAATAATAATACTGTAACGTGATTTATAAATTCGGGTTCGATTTATATCAATATTTATTAAACAAAACTAAAACACTATAAAAACCGTACAATTTATATCGATTATTTATATCACACACACTTCGCAATTTATATTTCCGCGCTCGATGTTTCGTCCGTACTCGTTCGGTAGTAGACTGCCGCGATGTTCGGTCCGCAACCATTTATACACGCAAGCAATGTAAGTCCAGTACATTCTCGAATATTCTTACACAAAATCCCACTATCGCGCGCGTAGAAAATTCCAGAGCGCCAAAGGCGACGTCATGTCTGGAGCGTTTCCGTTACAATACTTAATGAGATCCAGAGGGAAGAAAAATCAATATTTTTAAAATTTTAACCGGTATACGCACACGGGGAGCCCGAATGCGATTATGTTACGTAGGCGAGAGAGTGGAGGTCCACGGGGAGGTCAGTGCGTGCTGGTGGACAGCAAGGACGTCAGTAGTTCACTCTAATCACGCTGAGGCTCATATTGTTCAATTGTTTCATCTATTCAAATGCAACGTGTTGTCCCATGACAACGACGCGAACGAACTCATTCAGTTCCATTGCCTTTAGTGAGTCTTTAAGATAAGTTGCGCATCTTTAAGCTAGTGTGTCTAATTGACTTGTGTTTTACTTTACTTGATGCCACATAATTAACTATGGCTGATAAGTGTTTAATTTGCGAGGATGATGTTGACAGTGATTTATGTCAAGTGGGAAAAAAAGGAATAATTGTTGGATAGCAACAGGAAAAATAGGAACGTCAGATATAAAACTTGTCAGTGTATTGAACCATTATCATTATAGTAAATATTAATTGTGTATATCAAAGCCTATAATTATTGTTCACCCGTACTACAGGCAAGTATACAACAAATTGGCGACGAGGATTATTGGTGTAGCACTTCGCATTACAGTTGCAGATATTTTTTTCGAATTAAATTTACACGAAAGAAAACATGGCATCGGAAAAAGTTTATGAAGCATTAGTGGATCTCTTGCATCAACAAGATCGTAGACTTCAACTGTTGGAGCACACATTGAAGGAAACCGTATCTACCAATCCATCATCAGTGTCCAACAGTAGTGAATTGATCATCGAGGCTTTGGCAAACAGCATAAAGGAATTTTCATACGATCCAGAAGACCACAACACGTTTGACAAGTGGTACAATCGATATGAAGACACCTTTATCGCAGCCAAGACTCAAATCAATGAGGATGCACAAATCAGACTTCTGTTGCGGAAACTCGATCATCCATCTCATACAAAATATGTCAACTATATACTGCCCCGTACAGTGAAAGATTTCAACTTCGAAGAGACCGTGAAGAAACTCAAGGCGATATTATGTCCACAGACATCAATTTTCAACCGACGTTTCAATTGTCTTCAAATGAAGAAGAAAGATTCAGACGATTTTGTAACATATGCAGGGAAAGTGAATCGAAACATAGAAGACTTCATTTTCTCCGAGCTGGGTGTCGAACAATTTAAATGTTTAATCTTTATATCAGGACTTCAATCACACAAGGACAGTGACATCCGTGCTAGATTATTACGTAGATTAGATACTCACACTACCGAAAATCCTATTGAGCTACATCATTTGGTTCAGGAGTGCCAGAAGATGATTGCATTGAAACAAGATACGGCACTGGTAGAAAACAAAAATCCAGTTGTCTCTAAGGTAGAATACAAGAAACATCCGCATCCACGTAATAACAATAAGCAACCAACTGCGACGGATTTACCGAAATATCCATGTTGGAAATGTGGTGGAATGCATTTTGTGAAATCGTGTGAATTTATCAAACACACATGCACGGATTGTAAGGGTGTAGGCCATAAGGAAGGTTATTGCAAGAGCGGTAAACAGAACAATTCTCAGCAGGGGTATAAATCGAATCCCAAAGCAGGGAAAGGCAAATCTGTCGCTCAAACCAAACACGTAAGCATTCCCAATGTTCATAAAGTGAATTTCCAACATAAAAGAAAGTATGCTACCGTACATATTAATGGTAAAATGACGAAGCTTCAATTGGATACCGCATCAGATATCACCATTATATCATCAGATATTTGGAAACAAATTGATGTACCAATAACTGAACACACGTCATTTCAAGCGAAAAATGCATCAGGAGATCCTCTAGAGATAATTGGCAGTTTCTATTGTGACATAACTCTCAACGAGATCACAAAGAAAGGCAAATGCTATGTCACTTCTATTCCTGAACTCAATTTGCTTGGTATCGATTGGATGGATTTATTCGATCTCTGGTCTCAGCCATTAAATACTGTATGCAGTGCAGTAACAACAGATGAGGAAGTTCCTCATGAGTATATCAACATATTGGCTCAACAGTTCCCAGACGTATTTTCAAAGCAGCTTGGCCTCTGCACAAAAACCAAAGTTAAATTACATGTCCTGCCAAGAACAAAGCCAACTTACATATCTAAACGACCTGTATCTTATTCAGCATTGCCATTAGTAGATCAGGAATTAAAACGTTTAGAAGAAATGAACATCATTGAAAAGGTGGAATATTCACTCTGGGCGACACCGATTGTCGTTGTACACAAATCAAATGGAAAAATCCGAATATGTGCAGATTATTCCACGGGCTTAAATACAGCACTCCAACCTAATAGTCATCCACTGCCACTTCCAGAAGACATATTCGCATCATTAACCGGAAACAAATATTTCTCCGTTATTGACTTGTCGGAAGCGTATTTTCAATTGGCTGTAGATGAAGAATCGCAAGAACTTCTTACCATTAATACACATCGCGGCCTATACAAATTTAAAAGGTTACCTTTTGGAGTCAAAACAGCGCCTGGTGTTTTTCAAAATATTATTGACGCAATGATTGGTGATTTACCATTCGTCCAATCATATTTAGACGATTTAATTATCTTCAGTAAAAATGTTACTGACCATAAATATCATCTAACAAAAATAATGAGCAGAATCCAACAATATGGATTCACTCTTCAAACACAGAAGTGTCAACTGTTCACATCGGAAGTAAAATTTCTAGGTCAAATTATCAGTGAACACGGTTTGAAACCAGACCCCAATAAGATTGACTGCATCAGAAGAATGCCTATACCTACCAACATCAGTGAGCTACGTTCATTTCTGGGTGCTATAAATTTTTATGGTAAATTTATTCATAAAATGAGCCAACTCAGAGGCCCACTTGACGTTCTACTCAAGAAGAACACTACATGGTATTGGACTCCGGATCAACAATCGGCATTCGATAAACTGAAGGAAGTATTACAGAGTGATCTTCTACTCACTCACTATGATCCGTTACTTCCAATAATAGTTGCAGCAGATGCCAGCAATCAAGGGATTGGTGCTGTGATTATGCACGAACTCCCCAACAAGAGTCGAAAAGCAATATTTCATTCTTCTCGTACACTGACAGAAACTGAGAAGAAATACAGCCAAATTGAAAAAGAAGCACTTGGTCTCATTTATGCAGTTACCAAATTTCACAAATACATATTTGGTCGTCATTTCACATTGGAGACTGATCACAAGCCGCTTCTACATATCTTTGGAAATAAGAAGGGTATACCGATCTACACTGCAAATAGATTACAGAGATGGGCGTGTACGTTACTTCTTTACGATTTCGACATAACATACATTAATACTGATTCATTTGGCTATGCAGATTTTTTATCACGACTCATCGATTCTCAACCAAGATCTGAAGAAGATTCCGTCATCGCTTCAGTATACACAGAAATCGTTATCAACAGCATTCAGACGAATACTGTCACTTACCTTCCAGTGTTATTCAATGAAATCGAACAGGAATCCAAAAATGATTCTAATATCACGACAGTCATTGAATACATGAGTTCGGGCTGGCCATCTAACAAGAAGGAAATTAGTACTGACCTTCTACCATTTTTTAACAGGAAAGACGAATTATCCGTAGTTCGTAACACCTTGATGCTTGGAGAAAGAGTGGTGATTCCTACTTATTCGTGAAGCACCAGGGTATCTCAGCGACTATGTGCTTTTCTAAGAAAAGGGGGTGTTGGATAGCAACAGGAAAAATAGGAACGTCAGATATAAAACTTGTCAGTGTATTGAACCATTATCATTATAGTAAATATTAATTGTGTATATCAAAGCCTATAATTATTGTTCACCCGTACTACAGGCAAGTATACAACAATAATTCTGAGAAAAGATGGGCAAATAGACAGTTTTAGGAGGGAAGAGAGCGGCCTGTGTTTTTTTACAGATACAACAGTGGCTCAATAACCCCTTACCGCCCACCCAATGGGGTTGGGTCAAAGGAGAAGACGGGGTAGGTACTATTTCCAGGAACCACAAATGATCCAGTGGCTCCCGAAGCGATACTTAACACAATAGTTTGCCGATGTACAACTGAGTGCAAAGGGAGGTGTGGCTGCCGCTGCCGCAAAGCAGGCATTGCTTGCTCCGTCACTTGCGGCAATTGTATTGGCATGTGCACGAATGGAGCCCGACGACGATGACGATTTTGACTCCTGCCCACACAATCTTGCCTACGTAACTAGTCGCAATCTGACTTGCCGTGTATATACGACTATTTTAAAATTTTTCATTTTTCTTCCCTCTGTATTTCAAGTATCATGACTTATATACTGTGCTATATCATTTTGTAGGTAATTTTATGGTGTTTAATTCTTTAGAGCAAAATTTTTAATTAGGAGCAACTAAAAAAAGGGATCTTTAACCCCTCCCCCCACCCTTAGCTCACACCCCACGCCCCAGTACTTTTAGTATGTTGTTCAAGATACCTTCCCCTACATCTGTGCCAAAATTGGCTTCTACACGATTTTTTTCCGCTATTTTTCCTCTGTTGCCTGGACTATCAATACACATTGTACATATATAGCCAACTTTAATCTATCCGATGCAATGTACCCCACTAAGTAAATTGACCAAAAACTTTTTTGAAGACATTGACATTTTGGTACGTAGTGCCATCAAAGAAATCCTCAGCCTCCTGAAATCTACACCAAATGAATTTTTCTACTCCAACATGAACAAGAGAGGATTAGGTCTCATGAGAGCAAGTTGGGAAGCTTTTTTGCAGCATTATAGCCATTGAGTTAGAAAACTATTGTAGCATTTGTTTGCGACTGATTGAAGCAGATAACGGATATGTTGTCTGTTGCCGAGATTTACGTTCCGAAATTGATTCATGCTTGCAAACACTACAAATTCCAACTACAGCTTCGGAAATATTATCGTTACGTAATTGTGCGCAAGCTGCACGCCAAATTCTTCGAGAACGTGCTTTTGATAGCCTTTGTACCCTGCATAGTAAAGGTAATGGTTTTTCACAATTTGGTGAATGTCCAGTTAGCAACCATTGGCTGCGGCGTGACAAAAGTGGACTCTCTTCGGGACAATTTAAGACCGCTATCATGATATCAACAAATACAATATCTGTTCGAGCTAACCCCAGTATGAGCACAGACGATACCCAGTGTAGACGATGTCACACTGAGCCCGAAACCCTAGGACACGTTCTGGGCTCATGTCCATTTGGAAACTTGCTTGTGAACAATAGACATAAAAAGTTCGGTCAATAATTGCCAACGCCTTTATAGAGACCAACGTTTAACAGTAGGTACATGGAAGAAATAAGTTGCACTGCAGTCAACGGTTCTAACCGACGCCTCGACATCCTGGTAGTCAATGACAAAAATCAAACAGCTCTATTGCTTGACCCAACAATTCGAATTGAAAGAGGCAACGGAACCGAGTAGTTTGATGCTGTTGACACTGAAAAGAAGAATATATAGACCTCAAAACTCGCTATAGGTAATCTAGAGAACATTTCGGTTCATGACCTTTACATCGGTTCTAGTGGTACAGTGACAAACCGTCTCGCAAAGCGATTCAAAGTGGTATGGTTTCGGCAAAGAAATTCTAGAAAAAACTGTAAAGTGCGTCATGCCCTAGCGCACACGGAGCGACTGTTTTGCAGTTGCAAACCAGTTGCGCGTGCAACTGTTTTGTGACCTCGACAATGTATTGGAGTGGGAAAGCGCACACGACGCTCTTTCCCACTCCAATACATTGTCGAGGTCACAAAACAGTTGCCCGCGCAATTGGTTTGCAACTGTAGTTGCAGAACAGTCGCTCCATGTGCGCTAGGGCTTATACTCCTGTGCCTTAAAATATGCAACTTGTTACCATAACAAGCAGGCATTTATTTAGTAAATAAATTTTCTCTCTCTTTAACATAATCAGTTCTGTGATGTACAATACCACAGTCACCTACTGTCATTTCTTAAACTTGTTCTTGGTCGGAAAAACTATCGACATTTTCATTTGATGTAGGTGTTTGGGAAAATTGAAGGAACCGAATTAGCCTTTTACTTACGCGAAAAACGTTTCTGTTTTAATGTCCTTGTTTTTAAGGTTATAAACTGCATCACATTTTTTTACAAAACATTAACTTCAGCGTCTCATATTTTTAATTAATTATATAAAAGTAATAACACAACTAACTAACACAAAATTACATAAAATCACCCAAATTAAATCTCGTACTATTGACGTATGTCAAATTTCGTTTCACAAAACGCACAACTGCCTTGTGATGGCATGGCGCTGTTGATGTTGGCTTCATAAATTTGACTTTGCTAGCAATCCAGTTATTTTTTCATCCAAGATCACAGGGCCGATTCACAGTCGTCTATGTAAATATAGATGGTTGTGTTGTGGCTGATTGAATTGCACCTGATGGTCTGGTTCCAGCGACGAAAGTCCATAAGGTTACAATTTTTACCATTACAAAAACGTCGTAACCACGGATTGGACACAAAAGCTTATTCAAGTATCGTTGATATAACGCCGATGTTTTGTTTAATTGAGTTGTTTCAAAATGCAACATTCGTTTAACGTTACAAAACGTTTTTTCAAACATTGCTTGTCAAGTGAAATACTTTAGTATCAGCAACATCGGAAGTATGGGTCAGAGGGGGCGAGACACCCCCTCCGTTTTTACACAAGGGGGCCGCGCCTCATCTAAGAATGAGTAGATAAATCACTCAAAAGCGATTTCACACATCTTCTACTGCATGTGCATGCAGAAATTGCAAAAAGTGTAGAAGTAGAGGATATATTGAAAGAATTTGCCAGCAAAACTGCGGAAAGGCGGAAAATTTTTGGATATATTTAATTTTTTATACTTGCTTTTCTTTACAATGCTCAATAGTGCAGCAAATGGGAACAACATTTTTGTAACTTGTATGTTCTAGTTCTTCATTATTTTTTAAATAAAATATTAATGATTTATGGCTATGGTTTTCCCAATCGAGTCAAGTATCTCTGAGTTGCTCAGTTGCATTACACATCCGCTCCAACACTTTTTTTCAAAACTTCTTTCAAAGATACATTATTTGATTGATTAAATAAATAGGTTTGAGGGTCACTTAAAAAACCCACTACTTTGCATTAATTCGTACACAATTTTGCATGGGAGGTACCTTTCAGACTCCATGGTCACTGATTTTTGCCCCTCCCACCGTTATTCACTTCCGAGTCTTCCGACGTCGCTGTTTAGTACCTATGTACCATAAAAATGCATGTTCACATTAAAGTTGAGGCAGTTTATTCAAACGATATATAGTACCTAAATTTTTTGCATTATAAATGCTATCTATACACAGGCCTCGAAACACAATCTTAAGCCGGCTACAGACACTTGTACATTCCTTGAGATATGTACGCGCGTACATTGTAAGCGCGTACATATCCTTCGGTGTCTCCCTAAAATATCTCTCGAAGATGTATTCAGTCAATGCTTGCATTTTTGTACGCGCATACTTCGCGTACAAATACGCGCGTACATATCTCAAGGAATGCATACGTGTGTCTGTAGCCGGCTTTAGACGACTAATGGCCGTTTGTACCAACAAAATTAAGTTGAGCTTAAGAAGTATTTTTGTAAAAATTACAAAGCCTAGCGCTGTTATTTTATTTACTAATAAGTACCTAATAACATTTTCTAGTTATAGGTACCTATACTTCATTATAGTTATAAAGCGAAAGGAATGGAAATACTTCCTTTCCTTGTGAAAGTTTGCTGAATCGTTACAAATGTCAGATCAAAATTACAAATGACTGATGAAATTTCAGCCTACTAAAAATTTAAAATTAAGGTAAACGAAATTATAGGAGAAATCTTTTTGCTAGGTTTTTTTCTTACTTGTATATTAAATTGAAATTATTTCAATACTTTATCAGAGCTTCCACAACTTTATTACAAAACTGGATTGAGTATTTTCCTGAAGACAAAAGTTAACAGGAGGGTGAAAAATTAACATGTAAAAACCTATGTCCAGACTCACTGTATATTCATTGATTTGATTACCTACCTGTACAAAGTATACGAGTACATAGTCAATTTCAATGATATATTTTACACATGAGTATTCCTTCATCACGCATTAGAATACTGCGCACACGCCTTTGTTTTATGTTCAACCATTGAATAAAAACACTATAAGAAGCCTAACCCCGTGGAAATAAAGCGCGACAGAGTGACCCATATGTTTGAATGATTTTGTTCCATTCTTTGGGATAATATTGTTGCACATGTGCCAATACCTTTTGCACTTGCTTCATTTCTTGATCCGTACACTGTGGACATGATCCGCGCAGAACTAGTGGAGCTAAACCTGTAAGGCCATATTTTAAATGACGTTTTTTTAAGTTACCAGCGTTACTTACTTTTCAGCCTTTTTCCAACAGGATCACATCGTACTTCTCCAAGTGTACATTTTATTTGTCTCATTAAGTATCTAGTGTCGTTGAGAGCCTTATTAATTTCGTCATCTGCAATTGGAGGTCTTGATGTACTTGCGGTGAATATATTAATTACACTTAAAAAAAGTATGACGGAAAACGTGACGAACTGCAATCAAATAAACTTTATAGAATATAATATTTACGTTACCATTGTCAACCTTAATGTAACACATGATTTAATTAAACGACAGGTGTTGAGAAAGTAAAAGAGAAAGTGTATGAGATTCGGTTTTATAATATCTCTCCCTGACATAATTACATCCCTCCTAAGAATAGGTAAGTAAAAACGATGGGAATTTTAAAATTTCTCAGACGTCATTAGCGGATGTTATATCTATATCACAGATTGGTCCTATACCTTTGAATATAAAGATTCAACGCCTATACTGACAGCGGATATTTGCAAAATATACCATACCTACAAAGCAGTAAAAGTATAGGTAGACAAATAATATGTGAGTAACTGCATGATTACCACCTATTGATTTTCTGTTTTAGTATTGTGCATATGCCTTAGCTAATGCCTTAGATTCTGCAAACGTTCGTTATAAATGAAAACATTGGATACAAAAACAACTCAGCTAAAGGGTAGCTAAATAGTAATCCAAAAGAAAAGTACCTGTAGGATAAGTTAAAAATGAATCAACTTCAACGATTTATTTATTAACGATCCTCGAGATTGTTTATAATTTTGTACTGTTCTGTCCGTCTGTCTGTCTGTCCGTGTGCACAAATGGTAAACATGTTCTTAAAGATATAAGAAAGGCCGCTATTGTTTTTCAGTTACGTACACTATCGGGCCAAAAAGTGACAGCCCACAAAATGCCCGAACCTCCAAAAAATGGTATCTTTTATAATTGTTGTTACAAAATAACACATGAATACCTGGTTAAAAATTAATTTTATTTTTCATTGTATTCTAATTAAAGGTCTCAACGAAAGGAACAGTTTTCCACAAACTACTGCCCTTCTTTTTGTCCTCTTATCAAAGTACGGGGTGGTGGGGAAGGGGGGGGGAGTGGAACTACTTTTATCCTTTATGGTACTCTAATGAAAGGTCTCACAAAAGGAATTAATTTATACTAACCATAGTCTTCCTCCTAGATCCCTTGTCGTGATCGGTTATAATTCCTTATATCTTAAGAGTGAATTGTCAAAGTAAATATACCTACAAAGGGCGATTGGGACGTTTGGAAGAAATATAACCATTGGGCATTTAAATAAAATTTGATACATAGCCACTTGGAATAAAAGCAAATGTAGCACCATTTTTCAAATTTGGTTTTGCGCATGCGCAGTGCCAACTTTCTTATTTATGGAAGAAATTTCGTAGGGGTGTTTAAAAAAATGAGCTATACCTGCACAATGGTTGTGCACAATTTGTACTTGTTTTATATTCTTCTGGATAAATGCAATGCATTAAAGCAGGACCGTAGCCAGATTGATTTAAATGGCCAATGAATCTACAGAGCGGGGAGGCGAATAATAATTTTCCGTGTACCGCCTACCGCGCAAATACTATCCGCTGTAAAATTCGTTTTTCTTGGAAAATATAGTTCGCTATTAGGTAGCATATCGTTTAATTGATTTAATAAATAAAAAGTAAGCATATTTTCCAAAGCTTTTCAGCTGTTCATCTTTATCATCTCCTAAGAACACGTGTGCCAACTTTAGTTACCTACCTTCGGTTCAGGGGGTGCGGGGTCAGGTGAAAAAGTTATCGGACCTAACCTGATTCTTTAAATGGATTCAATTCAAAAATATTTTTAAAAAGTTTTTACAGAAATTAAAAAAATTCAAAAATTATAAATTTTTTGTGTAGTTTTAGCGCATTTTCCAACCAAGTTGAGTTGCAGCCACTTTCTCTGTCTGTCCGACAGTCCTACAGTTTTTAAGATATTTAGTTCGTTCTTTTTGCATTCGGTAGCGTAGGCATAGCTCTAGCACCTGAGCCAAGGAAAATCTTAACGATTAAAACGTCAACTTTCCTATTTATTAATATATTTTGTTGAAATTAACCACAGGTACTCGCCTAGTAAAGGCAAACATATTGCGCATACAATTCCAATCGGCGGTCATCTTGAATAAATTTGACAGTGACACTTCATGAGAACCGTTGAGTGATTATATATATGGTGATAATCAGTGAACGATAAGAACGCATTACCATGACTGCGCACTGCGCATGCTTTGAGGTCGCTAACTTCGCTACCTGCACACAATAAAAATCTCAAATTTTGGACCGCTTTTGAAGTCATCGTAGCATGACCTCTTTATAGATCATGATAGTCGTAGAAAAAATAGTGTATGTGAAACTCGCATTTATGATTTAATGGCTATTAAACACACTCGTATTAATTATAATAATTCTCATACTCGTGTCTTAATAGCCGCCATTAAATGCTCATTGCATAATGTACTACTATGCGATCAAAAATGAGTTGCTGTCGAGTCGCCTTTGAAATTTTTGGTTAGGTACTTGGAAAATTGTATAGGTATAATTTGAACTTCCAAAGGCGACTCGATAGCAACTCATTTTTGATCGCCCGTTATTATACCCCGGTATTCGATTTTATTCATTTCGATACATACCTATTAATATAACGCGCGACGACACCAAACTGACAGAATAATTAGATAATAACGTTGCAACTGTTTTGTAAATTGCCACACAAGTTACCAAGGGATAAATATGTAATTAAAAAACAACATAATCAAAATAATGCCATCAAAGTTCAAAACAGCCCAGTCCGGAATTATAAAAACACCCCCCCCCCCCCCCTTTGGAAATGTTTACGATTTCTTGATTCAAAATTCAAATGTGCCTGGTAATTCTTATGGACGAGTCGTTCAGTTTGGTAGTAAATAACACCGGTCTACAGTATTTTTGCACATGGGGACATGTATACCTTATTTGTATTGCTTGTATAGCCACAAATAAGAATTAGAACAAAACAAGGTTAGGTATGTATTTGTTTTTATTCGAAAAAAATGCAGAAAACCAAAAAATAAAAATACATAGAAAATCTTACTTACACAGGCATGGTTTATTATAAAGTAACGTTCCTACATTTATAATCTGTTTGTCTTAGAATCTAAATGTTTAAAAATGGAACAGTTTTGCTGCTTTTGTCATCTTCAACTGAAGTTTTTCTCTTCAACCCCCCAAATATGATCTTCCATCATGCTTCCAGCTTACTGGCCTTGGTAACGTGCCTAAATTCCATTATGTCTTGATGAAAGGGTTCCGAATAAGCTCCCATATTATCCTTAAATGAATCTACGTGTGAATGTAACCTGTGCATCTTTAGAGACATTCTATACCCAATGATGCAAAACCAAAACCCCTCAGCTCGTCATAATTTTTAGCTCTATGGTTTCCCAGGAAACACTGAACGGGAAACCATGGACTATTGCCTTAATACTGTTCCAGTATTTTTTTCCTCTTTGCTAAGTAACCGCGGGAAAATATCACCCTCTATTTTTCTTTTTATTTGAGGGAAAACAAAGATTCCAGCTTTAATTTTCGCCCCTGAAAGCTTTCAATCAAATCGCTATAACTTTTGTAAAAGCAAATATTTTCGATGTCTAATTGCACTTTTTATTTATTTTTGCTTATTATAGGCAGAATATATTATTTTTTTGTTGATCAATGTATACAATTACTGATACAAAATGACTAACATTTTATACAAGGGCCATATTCAACTTGGTCTTATAGGTACCTCTACCTAACAAGTTTCTCTATTACCTAAGCATTGGATAAACAAGTTGTAAATCAGCATATGCATGATGAAAGCGCATTTTTGGTAATGCAGATCAAAATTTTATTAACGAAGTTTAAAATTGTCTATCTCATGAGTAACTCAACTCAAAATAGATAGAACCTGCACATCTATACACTATATCAGAAAGGTTTTAGTGAAAATTTGAAGTCTCTAGCTATTGTAATTGCTGAGATCTTAACCGGACAGCCAGTCAGCCAGCCATAACGAATATAATAGCATATTTTTTACAAAAATGCACTAAAAATATTCAATGATCTACGTAACGATAACAACTCGCGATATACTTGATTAAGTAGAATGGTAGATACTACCACAGATTTAAATATACTATTTATACTATACTATACTAATATACAATTATAATATATAATATAATATACTATTTCAATCTGTGATACTACATCGTGGTAGACACGTTATTACGTTACAATTAATCAAAAGAGAATTCTATACCTAATTTGATGTTAGTGATAACAATACTTAATCATGCATTGTGGGTATTGATTTACCTACCCCTAGTCTACGTCACTCAGCAGTTTTCGCCGTTGCCTGCCGATCGAAACGCTCACATCGCTTTATGCGTTTACCGAATCGGCATAAAAACGTATACAAACAAGAAAACTTACTGTAGTTGTATTTCCTGCCATTTTGATAATTGAAAATATGAACTTATAATGTAAAATTTGTACTGGAAGTATATACGTACCTAAATTATTTGACCTACAAATTTTGACAAATATATAATGGTAAGTTAAATGTTATGGGCTTATGGCTTAAACTGCACTGGATTTATTTTCCAAAAAAATGGAAATACCGACTTTAATTTATTGCACGATTGAAGCCTAAAGGTAAGTACCTACTATAAAACTATAATTATAATTTACGTTCTACATGCACCAAAATGTCGATATTGCATAGGTATCTTTGCTTCATTCTTTTACCTTCGAACCTCTAACATTGGTTTGGAGAATCTTGAGTAGACTTTTCTGCTTTTCCTTACAATGATTTGATTTAGATATGTAGGTAATGTGAGTTCATTTAACTTTGAATAATTTAGGCGATCATTTTCAGCCATAGAACAATTTTGTGAAAATGTACAATGTTCTGTAAGTACAACCAATAGCACAGATTAACTACCTATATGTGCCTATACCTATAGAGAAAAAAAAGATTATCTAACGTGTAGAATGATAAATGTCATAGAGTAAATAATATAACTCTCTGTAAATGTTTAGCTAGATGTCCAATAATATGTAGGGCCAACGTATACTTTTCTCTTCTGGGGGGCGCCTAATTTTATGCAACCAAAACAACTTCTTAAAAAGATCTAGCAGTCAGATTAATTAATTAGAATATTGTTGCTTTGGCTACTGTATTTTTATTTTCGTTCGTGTGCGATTTATTCAACTGAAAAAAGTTGATATTGTCAATTCGTATAGTGCCGGTAACAGTTTAACGAGCTTAAGAGATTTATTTTCTGTTAAGCCAAAGCACCAATATTCAAACTAATTAATATGACAGCCAGATGTTTATTTGCTTTTGGATGTATAAAATTAGGCGCCCTTCAGAGGGATGGATTTTGTCTTTTAAAATTAGATATAGGGAAAAACAATACACATAAATCCCTATGTCTACTTCTTAATAAATATCACCGTATATGGTCCAACGACGACGGCGACGTTGGATACTAATATCATAGTGTAACTAAGGTAATATCTACGAATATAGATGTCTAATAATTTGAGCTACATAGGTACAGGGATAATTAAGGAGCTGGTTTCATCAGATAATATTTTGAATTTATAGGACTTTCTTCCGTGAAAATCTTTCCACTTATTATTTGAAAAGACATGACCTAGTTTTTATTCATTTTTTCTTCACATCTACGCTATAACTGGACAACATTATTGATGTTACCGTTCATCTAAACAAACTAAATAAGCAGCATAGGTACACAAAGAAACGTTAGTTAATCAATAAAGCCCCAAATATAAATAATTTTACATAATGATTAAATGACGTGCACTTGCCAAATTAAGTTAAAATTTTATTGGCATGTCTTGATGCCGTTTTACTATTTTTAAATAGGTACCTACATAAGTACGCAAAGTATTGATCACATTAAACTTATAGTGACTCAAAAATCATACAACAGTCGGTAACACCATTGAATAAATAATTTACTTATGGTACAGTAGGTGAAACCTAAAGGGAAGATAGTCCAACCTGAGAACTAAATTTTAAACCCTATTTAGACGGTTATAATTTCTACATGTAATTTACATGTATTTCTCCATGTAGGTAGCGTTTTATCAGGGTTTTTTTTTACATCTACACTAAAAAAGTAGCTTTGTATTAAATGTTGGCCGTATACCGCCTAGTTTTAAGATTTGAATCTGTATAAAGATGGTTTACTATATGACAATTAAACAACATTTATGTATTTTTGTAAAGTTTACTAACATGTAGAAATTTGCCAAGACATTTTATATTTCTTCACGTAAAAATGTCAACAATATAATTGTTTACATGCTGTAAACCATCTTCAAAATGTTTTAACACCGCAGCTCACGGGGTATGTTTTTAGCGCCCTTAGCTACATTTACCTCGGCGCCGCCATAACTATAAGCTAAATTGCATGCTTAGTGACCGAGCTTCATAGAAAGTTATTTATACTACTAGCGTTGAATGATACCTAAGTACATTTCTTTTTGCACATGTATTTTGACAAAAATTATCCACAACCCCTGATCCAAATTGCCAATAATAAATAGTTTAGCACATCTTGGTCCCCCCCCCCCCCCCCGAAACTGGCGCCCTGATTTATAACCCGGGGCCTGCAAAACCGTAAAACTAAACAGTGCGTCCAACATTTAATAATGGAAAATCTTAGTCTAGTCTAGAGTCTAGACTCTACATCTAGATAGATAGAAAAACGCAGGATAAGCGCTAATTTACATGTGGAAATTTGACCGTTACGTGAAACGAGCACCGCAATGGTATAGCGGAAGTCAATATAATAGCCAGGTTGCGGACAGCATTTTCCGTTATGTTAGACGGCCATTTTTCCTTATAATATAAGTTTATAAGTATAAAACATTTTTATAGCAAAGTTAAGTTGCGGTGTGTGCTGGGCGTGTTCAATTTTGCTTATAAGTTTGAAGGAGTCTTAACCTCACTTTTATTTTACATTGTGTTAAAATGTCCAAAGTTCACTACTATGCTCTTAGACAAAAAGAAAAGAACTACCGCCAACATAAACACTGCACAATTGTAGGTTAGCAGGAAAATGTTATTTATGAGTGATTACGTACTGCGCAGTGACACATTATAAGAACTTCATTTTCATTGGTTCCGCTATTTATAAATATATCGTACAAAAAGCCCTCATACCGTAAATTATTTCTACAAAAATTTATATTTCTTATGTTATAAGAATAAATGGCCGTCTAACATAACGGAAAATGCTGTCCGCAACCTGGCTATTGACTATTTAAACGCACTGTAATGCAGTCAGTATTTATTTACTAATTTGCACATTTTGTTCCAGATGCACAAGGTTTTTACAATACACCTAACATACTAGGCCTTATCTAAAATGTCCGTCACATCAACAGAATTGGAGAGTTGGTTGATTTATCAGTACATCGTTTCAGAATGTAATCATTGTCTTTGTAAGTATTGGCTTATACTTAGTATATATTAGTATGTTACTAATAATAATATATTATTAATAAGAATAATTAAATAAATGCGCAATGCTTTATTCACATCACCACCCAATTTCACAAAGGGTGCACATACGAAGATGGCGAAGATGTATGAGTTAGCATATGTTTGAATACGCCACTGATATGAGGGCCTGAACTTTAAAAAAAAAATGGACTGCCAAGCACCCTATGATGTATGTATTATAAAATTGTCTTACACGTGTAGTTTACCGTCATGGCGGACTTTTTTAAGTTGGCAGTGACAAATTCTAGATGTGATATTTATGCAATATTTATTTTTCTTAGTTACAATAAATACAGTGGAGATACGCCACTGGTCACGCACGGCTAAGAAATGAAAACAACCATAACCATAAATGAAAATTTGAATACGAGCTGAATATGGGGATTTACTATCCAGATCTGGTAAATTTTGTATGCAAAATCGTGTCAATTTTCAGGAGTACTTGTTTTTTTTTTAAATTATTTTTACGAAAGCAAAAATTATCAAGACCAAAAAGAAATGGATATAATTATTGATTACTTTAAACATACTTTTTATTTGGATTTTCAACTGTGGCCCGTGGCGCATATGTGCTATGTGCCCCACGTTGGGCGCCAAATAATAATGCTGTGTGCACTGGTCCGTAGGTCAGAAAGACCGTACACAAAACACCTAAACAAGACCCTAGCTAGCTCTTTACTTTTGTTATTTAACACGGAACTAGACACTAAAATCTAAAATTAAAACTTAATTAACTTACATTACAGATCCGAGAAATGTGCTCCAAATAAATGGTATCCTTACATAAAACACAAAAACAATTTTGAATCAAACACTCGATTAAACAATTGCACTATAACGACCGGGTAATCGCAGCGTCTTCTTTCGGGTAGACGAAGACTCAACTTCCAACTGAGTCACGTTGACAACTTAAGGGGGCGCCGAACAAACACCTCTCCTTAAAAACCTTTGATGGCCAAAACTTTAAACACGTAGAACAAATAATTAGCCACGATTTCGGCTTCCAGCTACGCAAACGGAACTTCTTCTATCTTCACACTTCCACTAGGCGAAACTTTCAATATTGGCTGTGACTCGTGGCAAAAAACTGATTCTTCAACGAGACGTAATTCTACGTACACTGTCGCTAAACACGATTTAAAACTACAACGGTGAACGGAACGTATAGTTCCGCTCTGAACGTGGCAAACGCTGATTTCAATCTTCAACAAGACGTAACTTCGTACAGCGAATTTTCATTTGACCGCACTTGAGCCATGAACTTGGCTTAAAGCTGATTTAACTTGTCAAACAAACGTATTTCTTCGTTGACTGGCTAAAAGCCGATTTAAAAACTTCTATCAAACGTAGTTCCGCGCTGAACTTGGCAAAAAGCGACGCTCTCCCTCTTCCGCATCTTATTTAAAGCGAAACAGAAAATATCCCCTCAACTTACGTTAAAAGACCAAAATAATAGAGGTCGAATAATTTTACTAAACAAATTCTTATCAGACATAATAAATTAACTAAAATACCTACTAGTAGACCGGGAGGCAGCGTACATAGTAACTAAACCATAAGCGACAAAATATTCGACAATACAGGCTGAAAGTACGTTGAAAACTAATAATAAAATCACTCGTCTGCCAGTCGTAAGTGGCAGCATTAACTTGGGGCGGCGCTAAATAGGTGACTTCTTTAGGTGATCAACTAAATTACCAAACTATGGGTCACGGAAAAGATTTGTATCAAGAAATCCAATTTTTTCGATAGTTTTCAAATATGCTATGCCAGATGATTTCAAGTGTGGCGTTGGTAGCGAAAGACGCCCTTCAATGTAGAGAAAAACACCCCTGAACTAAACCATGAGGACCGTATAAAAATTATACATAAAAAATTCCTTTTTTTGTCACTACTTTGAAATATATCCTGGCAGACGATATAAAGCGTAGCTTTAGGGGTCGCCACACTGAACGCGGTCTGCCCGCCGCGGGCAATCGCTTGCGATCAGCCGCGCGGTCTGGTATGTCACACAGGATGCGGTCCATGCCGCGGTTCGCAACAAAATTTGATTAGTATAGTCGTTGTTCCCTCAAGAATATTAAAGCCCTCGGCAAGCCTCGGGCTTTAAACCATTCTTTCAGGAACAAAAACTCTTTTTAATCCCTTGTTTACTTAATATACTATTTTCACTCGGCGGATCTTCCTTCTCGTGAAAAAAAGATATAGGTACTTTACTCACTTGTTGCATAAGTAACTAATTTTCCGTCAATCGTTTGTTTATAGATGCATAATTTGTCCTGAAAATCATCGTACAAAATATGTCGTTATCTGTTCTCTTGGTCTATAGGTATATAAATAATCAGATATTTCAGTTTTAACTTTTAAATAACAAACCTCATATAGCTATTAGAGAGGAAATGTCCAGTGCATACCTACCAATTAAATTAATTGAAAAATTAAATGTTACTAAAATAATTACTAAATTGCAAGAAAAATAGCACAAGTTCTAAACAAGAAAATTGCAGAATGTCTTGCAGCAAGAACTTGTACGTGCAATTTTAACAAGAGATACATGCAGTGGCGTATTAAGATTCAACAACGCCCTAAGCCCTAACGGATTTTGCGCCCCATATCACGCACAAGATTTTTTTAGTAATCAATAATAAACCAACTTTTACAAAATTATCAAGACAAAATAAAATAAATACATTGACATAGAAAACAAAGCGTACGGTAACGTAAATTTAATTACGTGATTTATTTATTTACTATTAATTAACAATAAATTTGTGACAGTCCTGAAATGAATTGTTATGACAGTTAAAATATTATTTATCACTTAAACATACGCAATTTATAACAGTGCGAACTATTTACTACTTTTGCGTTGAAATTGGAACTGACTGAAACACAATTCGATTTGTTTATACAGGGTGTTTACGGTCTTCTCTATATCCTTTTAAGGGGGACAGTGCAGCTCAAAAGGAGTCGACAAACCCCAAAACACCTTCGTAAAAGTTATTTAATAAGCGAGATAATATTTGTTTTATTTTTTACATTAAACGATTAATCTGTGTACAAATCTAGCAATCTACTACTTAATCAGCATTGTCCACTTAAATTATTTTTGACTAAGGTGTTTTGGGGTTTGTCGACTCCTTTTGAGCTGTACTGCCGCCCCTTAAAAGGATACAGAGAAGACCTTAAACACCCTGTATAACATACGCCCCTGTTTCTCAAACGTTTTTGAACGCTTCCAAACGAGTATTCTGGAATGTTCTCGAACAAAACACGTCATATTTCCCGGAGAGAATGCGTCACATTGTTACCACCGTAAATACAAACGGTCACATCCGCTTTCGCAATAAACATTGCAATTCTTACATTGCATTGTCTACTACCGCCTTTAAATGTTTTCATTTACTCGGTAATAGTCGGTTTTCCATTAGAAACTGACTTAATTCATAATTGCTTGAATTTTAGAAGGCGTTGAGTGACGTTATCAATTTATCATTGAATTTATTCAATCAATATGTAAGGTAAAATGTAACGTAGGCAATCCAAAATACATGTAGGAAACGAATTAGCCTGGATCAATTCACGTGTTATTGAAGAAGGGGAAGTGAGTCATTTGAATTTCTTTACTTGACGTGACAGCTGAACTAAAGTTGACACAAACAAGAACATAACCTCGTAGTTGTCACTCGTAATGATAGTCTGTGACTCGTAGTTCGTAATCGGAGAGAACATTTTTGTTATTCATTTAGTTTTTCGTCTTAGTACTGATTTAACAACGGAATAGGTAAGAAATCTAGTTATTGTAACAAATAATAGTACTGATTACTTAATTACTAAGTTACTCCGTTATTTGAAAATAATGTTACCCTTAAGACTTAAGGGAAGACAGGTGTAGGTAAAACAGCAGATGTCGTCAAGGGACCGTTGTTGGAAGTGAAGCATGTACCTATTGATTTGTGTTTATGGGAATCAATTATTTATCATTATATCTTATATCTAATGTATGATGATTGTTTAAAAATTTGTTTTAATTCTAGTTATGAGTGACACTGGATTTCGTGCACGAGATATTGGACTGCGAGCACAAAAAAAAATCTTGTCTCGTATGGCAGGCAAACATGTGGCTAGAGCTCTCATTGATGATGTTACTGCGTCCCTTCTGGACAATCTATACTGCCTTGCTAAGCAATACGTAAGTATGAAATTGTCTCATGTTCATGAGTGTAGCTACATTATTTTTTAGTCACACAACAAAAAAGAAGCAGAGAAGCTAATAAAAAATATTATAAAAATCGTCATAAAACTTGGAGTGCTTCACCGTAATGGAGTATTTTCACAAGAAGAGTTAAATTATTCGGAGCATGTTAAAAACAAACTACACATGGCTGTGATGGCCGTTATATCATTTCACGAAGTAGATTTCAGTTACGACCGTAATTATCTCATATCAGCCCTAAATGAATCTCATAAGTGCCTTCAATTTATCGTTTCTAAACATTTGACAGAGAAATCACTAGCAAGAATTGATAGCGTATTTCACTTCTTCACAAATGATCATTTTTTGGATGCAATTTTTAAAACAAATTCGGAGTATAAAGACGTTGTCAGTAGGATTGTGTCCGATTTGAATAAAGCAATCGATAATGGAGATCTTTAAAGAGGTAAGTTGAAATTAAATTTAAATTATTGGGCTATTACTTTTAATAGTAATATCTTATTAATGACTAGTACAGTGACTAGTTTACTGTTTGAATATTGATAACAGCTGATAAAATGTTCCTTGTTTATTTATAAACTTGAAATTGATGTTATGGCTATGTAATGTTTTAATCAAAATTTGAGGCATTTTTCCCAAGAACGATTCTAATCGGCCTAATGTAATGTAATTAAAATTTAATTACCTTGGTTGTTTATTCAAAATCACAAATTACCTATATCCAAGGGATTATGCCAATTTGTGTTTAAAGAATAGAATGAAACTAAAGTGATATGAAAAACCGGATAAACAAATACAAAATGTAGGAAGAAATCACAATTTTGTGAACAAAATGTTTAACTATGTACGTACCTAATTAGAAAAACATACTTAAATTTGCTATCATGTATAAGTACAACATATTTGACCCTGTCACCACTCACCAGGTATGCAATTAGTGTTCTAATAACAAATTTATGAGTTTATTAGAACAATATTGGTCATAGTCTAAACAAATAAAAATGAAGTAATTAGAAAGTATGATTTTGAGGACTTGAGGTAACCACAGCTAGATGCGAGGCTAGATGTTTGAAATTCGCTTCAATGTCCATATCTTATTCTTTTAATAAAAGAAGTAATAACGCCATTCGCTCAGCGTTTTTAAAAGTGTGCTCCGCGGAA